ACGAGAGGGAGAGGGAACTGGGATTGGAATGGAAAATAAGATTATTCTTAATTTAAATTTGAAAAAAATATATTTGCTGTATTACGTATGTTGAATCAGTCGGGGTAAGTAACAATCTCTCATAAAAACTCCCTTACAGATTTCAGTAAAGTACCTTTCATTCCTTTCCTCCATGTGATACTTTCTGTGCTGTCCAACAAAGATAGAATAAAGGCCTGTGTTGAGTCAGTTAGATATCAGGTGGCATAAACAAGATACAGATGCAGGCAATGTGAATGAAGTATCAAACAGATGCACAACAGGCAAGCCAGAAACCACAAACTATGGACAGACAGAAGACAGAGAGAAGTGGGGAACTCAAACTTGTACTTGGAGTTAGTCAAATTAATTCAAAGGGTGGTACTTTGTGTTGTTTTCTTTCTTTAATATGACACAGACATATGTTGGTGACGCTGACATTATCTTTATTGTGTTTAGGGCACACAGATTACACTTTAAGAAGAAATACCACACTTAAGAAAACTGTCCCAGAAAGAACAATACAAACATTCTAGTAAACTTACTGAACTTTTTTTTTAAAAGAAGGATGCAAGGAAAAGATGCAGAAAACAGAAAGAGAGAAACAACAGACCCTCTGAGAATTTGTAGACCTGATTCCTTAACTGTTGGAAAAGACCTGGAATCAGTAATGTTCCAGAAGCAATGAGCCTCTCTGGCTCCAGGTTTACATTCCTGGGGTGTCAGTTCCCCACTGAAAGAACCAAGTTCCTTGGAGACATGGATGACTCAGCTCTGAAGGATGAAAACAATGTGATAAATCACAATGTCTTGTCACACCAGATGGCAAGGAAGGTATTAGAGACGACCATAACTAAATTGAGAGACAAATGAGAAGTCCAGAAACCAAATATAAAAAAACTTAAATGCCTGGGGAGATGGCTTAATGGCCAAGAGCCCGCACTGCTCCTGCAGAACATCTGAGTTTGGTTCCCAGTGTGCAACTACCTGTAACTCAGTCTCCAAGGAGAAATCTGCTGTTGCCTTTGCCTCCAAAAGTATTTCTGCTCACATGAACATACCAACACAGACACATTTAAAATCATGACAAGCCAATGTAAAACATAAAAATAAAACTTTAATAGCAAAACCATAGTGATTGGTTTGGATTGAACTCTATACAATGTGTTCACACTAGTGAGTTTAAAGATACAAGAGAAAATGGCGACCTGAGGAGGATATTAAGAACCAAGTCATTTTTTCAAAATTAGGAAAATATATGTTTTTGTCTCAATGTGATAGTAGATACAAGAATAGATAGCACAAAAATAAACATCAAAGTGAATGTGGGTAAACAAGAGAGCTCTGAATAAAATTAACAAGCTATACTGATGTCAATATTCTGAGTAGAGTTTTTCTAAAAGATGTTAAGTTTAGCAACAAGCTCCTACTTGTCCTTCAAGTTAGATCTGCCTAACAAAGGTGCCAGGAATCAGGCTTGAGAGAGAATGTCTTTCTAAGCCTGAGTTACCTCACTTAGCAGTATTCTTTTCCAACAAAGCTCTTTAAAACAAACATTCATCATGATGAATTACTAACAATGGATAATAACCATCATGGCACTGAGAATAGCATTGCTGGTAGTCACCAGGGCCCCTATGGAGATGATGATGATGGTGGTGGTGGTGGTGATGGTGATGGTGGTGATGGTGATGGTGGTGATGGTGATGATAACAACAGTGGTAGTGAAGGTTACGATGATGGTCACAATGACAATGATGATGGGTGGTGGTGGTGATGAGGGTGGTGGTAACAGTACTATTGGTGCTAAAATGTTCATCATCCCATTATTTTCTAAGTTTATGAAACTGCAAGATGACTCTACAGAAAAAAAATACATAACACCCCTGGGAGCTAAACCATGATTCACAGAACAAAAGAAAACAAGAATTGTTACTTTAGAGACAACCAGGTCTCCAGAATGACTAGATCCCAGGAGTTGGGAGATGTGTGTGTGTGTGTGTGTGTGTGTGTGTGTGTGTGTGTGTGTATACATACAAACAGAAGCCCCACGCTCTCAGTCATACCATATCACCTTTCCAAATGGCAATCATGTTTTTTATGACTGGACAGGGCCCATTGAGTAAATTTTTTGATGGATTATACATCTATGTTCTTCTAAAATTTACTGACTATTGAAACCAGACATCCCCTGATTTTCTAGAAAACACTGTTTTACTTCCCTTCAACACAGGTGTTCATTTACATGCCTAAAACCAATATGAGAAATTTTTTTCTCTTGTGGGCTCTTGTTCATAATTCAGTCAATTTATGACCATGTATTGCCCTTCACTTTTAAATGCTTTGTTCTCTGTGTTGTGCTCTCTTCAGAAACAATACTGATCCTCTGAAAGCTTAATAGTAATAGTGAATACCAAGAGTAACCCATAAGGAACTTGTGGTTCTAGTTGGTCTTTTATACTAAAAGATTGAAGCTTCCTGCACTTGTAGCACTTGGCCAGCTAAGACAGGACGATCGTTGCAAGATGAAGGTCAGCTGGGGCTACAGTGAGAACTTGTCTCAAAAAGATCTGTGGGGAAAAAAAAAGAATCAAAAGCTGTGGAAGAAGATCATATATGTGAAAAATTAAATCTAGGCTGTCTGGGCTCATTCTACAAGGTAGCATTCCTATACACACTGTACTGGGTAATAATTAACATTCACTCTGTTTTGATTTGTAAAGCATTTTGATCTATACTAATGGTTACTGAATGTTTCTTCTCACATGTTCTAGAGACTGAGACAAAGGGGATATGTAATGTTTTTAATTGTTTGCCATCCTGATAAAAATTATTCTGTAGGAAGTGAAACAATGTTCAAAATCACACCCATCTCTGACATGTCACTATTTGACTTTAGTTAAGCACTATCACTAATTCAGTGCTTAAACCCTATGATGTAATGACAATGCTCTAACACTCAAAGCAGATGCCAAAGATTTTAAAGATTTTCATATAATTAAGAAAAATAAAGTCACCTGCCTCAGTAGATAGGTCCTCTTTCGGCCAATACTAACAACCTGAGTTTGATCCCTGAAACACACACACACACACACACACACACACACACTCTCATACATACTCACATATACACACACACACGATTTTTAAAAGAAATACAGTTTGTCATCAGTTATCATTATAGTAGCAACACATTTAAACCATTATTTTCAAATGCTACATAAAAATTAGGTGACAACATGTTATCACCCGCATAACTATGTCAACACAGTGCCATGTTAATCTCCAGGTAGCAGAAGTTTATTATTTTTTGTTGCTGTGCTATATTTCTATAGCTATAATGTATATGTACTATGTGTATACTGTAAAGAAAATATGTAATCAAAATTAAGATGAATTTGTCTTACCAAGTAATAACAAAATGATACTCACAGAAAATATACACCAAACGTTTAGTAGAGACAATGTATTTTAGGATCAGTTTTAAGACCACTCGGATTCTTCTTATTATAACATAAGTAATTTACTTAACAGTTAGTACTTTATGTTATTGAACAATAACTACAAAATCATAGCATTAGTCTATGCACATACTAACAGCACACATTTCTTAGCATATAACTGGAGATTTGTAAGGCTGAAAGTGGAGGGGAAGGGGAGAGGATCGTGACAAAGAGAAAGAAAACAGCTAAGTCAGAAAATATTAGTGGGTATTGGGCCAATCACTTAAGCGAGTGACTCACTCATGAAACACAACTGCTATAGCAGTAGAGTCTTCTCACTGTGAAACATACAAACTCTTTTCTAAACCCACAATTTTCAATACCCAAAACCATAGGAGTTACAAGGCTAAGATATAGCTCCATGGGTAAGACATTTATCGGGCAAGCAAGTGGGCCTGAGTTTTAATCCAAAATATCCACATAAAAGCCAAGCATGGGTACATGTATCTGCAAGCCCAATGCTGAGTGTGGACACAAAGGGATCATGGGACCTCACAGACTATCTAGCCAAAACCTGAGCTTTAGGTTCAGTTAGAGACCCTGTATGAAAAAACTTGGGTTGAGTGAGACAGAGAAAAACAACCAATACCCTTTTCTGGCCTACACACACACACACACACACACACACACACACACACACACGCACGCACACACGCACGCACACACGCACACGCGTATGCACATGGACACGCACATGCACACACACTCATCACACATACTACACACAAAATTCCTTTTTACAAAACTGATACTGGGATTGACTTTTGAACAAATGAGAAAATTAAAGAGTACTGCAGAGGTGTCTATAATAAATAACTGTATCAGAAACAATTACAACAGTGAGATTTGTGTTCTATGTTAAGAAATGTAACCCATGCAAGGTAGGACAACACATGCCTGTAATCCCAACAAGCTGGGAGAAAAGGAACAGGAATCACATATTCAAGGATAAGACTACATAGGAATACCTAACTAAAAAAAATAAAAGAAAGAAAAGGAATAGGATACCTCAAAACTGAAGATAAGATTCAATATGGAACTACCAGTAATAACTCATACTTCTTAGAGATATGTATTACATCTCTAAGATATATATATATATATATATATATATATATATATATATATATATAAATTTGGCATTAGTGACAAATAGTGAAATGTTTTTGTATTACAGTCTAAAAGCAGTAATTAAAATTAGCTAGGAAGTACTTGCTGACTCTACAGCACATGCCACTGCCCATCAAATACAGCAGGACAGTGGTAAGAAACACAGAACATAGCCTTGTACTAATCTTCAAAACCTCTGAAACCCCCAGGGACTGGTCCTCTGTCATCAAGAAGCAGGATATGAAGAAGACACATATGCCATAACCAGGGTAGCTCAGCAAGTGTCAAAAGCACAAAACCAGATGCTCCAAGCAGGGCAAGGACAGACCCTCACAAGCTCCTTCTCTCCCACCCCACAGGACTCCCACCCAGACACAGTTAATGGCTGCAGAAAATCACTCCATGGTGACAGAGTTCATCCTCAGGGGACTAACTAACTAACAGGCCAAAGCTCCAGCTGCCCCTCTTCCTCCTCTTCCTAGGGATCTACATGGTCACCATGGTGGGAAACCTGGGCATGATCACCTTGATTGGACTCAACAAACAGCTTCACACCCCCATGTACTTCTTCCTCAGCAGCTTGTCATTCATGGATCTCTGCTACTCCTCTGTCATTACCCCCAAAATGCTCACCAACTTCGTGTCCCAAAGAAACCTCATCTCCTACGTAGGGTGCATGTCTCAGCTCTATTTCTTCCTTGTTTTCGTCATTGCTGAGTGTTACATGCTCACTGTGATGGCCTATGACCGCTATGTGGCCATCTGCTGCCCCTTGCTTTACAACATCATCATGTCTCCTGTCCTCTGCCCCCTGCTGGTGGCCTTTGTCTATGCCATGGGACTCATTGGTTCAACAATAGAGACTGGCCTCATGTTAAAACTACACTACTGTGAGGACCTCATCAGCCACTACTTCTGTGACATCCTCCCCCTCATGAAGCTCTCCTGCTCTAGTACCTATGATGTAGAGATGGCTGTCTTCTTTTTAGCTGGATTTGACATTATAGTCACTAGCCTAACAGTCCTCATTTCCTATGCATTCATCCTGTCCAGCATCCTTCGCATCAGCTCCACTGAGGGAAGGTCCAAAGCCTTCAGCACCTGCAGCTCCCACTTGGCAGCTGTGGGTTTATTTTATGGATCCACTACATTCATGTACTTAAAGCCTTCCACAGCCAGTTCCCTGGCCCAGGAGAATGTAGCTTCTGTGTTCTACACCACAGTAATCCCCATGCTCAACCCCCTGATCTACAGCCTAAGGAACAAGGAGGTGAAGGCTGCCCTGGACAAAACACTGAGGAGAAAACTCATTTGATGCAAATATTAATCTTTGTCCGTGTAAGAGGAAGTGATTATAAACACTTGGAAACTGTTCTCTTCAAGCCTACCCAACTGAGCAGGACACAAGCACTTCTCTCCATGGCTGGGTACATGCCTCATCTCCTTTTCCTCATTCTCATCTTCTCCTCTACTATTTCTGTTTATAACTACTCAAATTTGAGGTCATTTTTCTTATAATTGAGATCTATCTCCACTATATGAGGCCAATGGTAAGCAATTTTAAACTTTTTCTTCTCTGATATTTTCATATATGTATATGATATATATTGATCATGTCCATCCCCCACTAATTTTCTTACTCCTTCCATTGCCCCCAATTTATCTATCTCTCACTTTCATGTCCTTTCCTTTTTTAATAACTAACTGAGCTGAATTAATGCTGCCCATATGCACATTACCACTGGAACATGCCAGCAAATCTCACACAAGTTCATTTAATTAATGGAATATAATTTACTTCTAGGGTACTAGCTGCAAGTGATCCTGGAAAATGCAGTTTGCAGTATTTTTAGCCTGAATAGAATGTTGGTTAAAGGGATAGTGGGACAATCTAATCTAAATAGGTTTTTATTCATTTTGTAATGACCTTTCCCTAACAAGATAGGCTGTGACACAGCTTCAACACAAAACTCTTTTTTTTTTTTTTTCTACCTTTGTGCAAAAACTGTTTAGTTTCTCTCATAAATACTTCTGCTGTAGAAATTCCCTACAGTCAGCACACAAAGTCTGGCACCATGGCTCTAAAAGTTTTTAAACTAATATTAGTATTTTTGGCTGTCTCTGAATCCTGGACAGCCATCAATAAGGTTTCAACTTTCTTGTTTTCTTGGTCCTAACCACTCTGATGAGAGTAAGACAAAATGTCTAAATAGTTTTAATTTGCATTCCTGTGATTGCTGAGGAAATTCTGCATATTTCTCAGCCATCTTTATTACTTCTTTGTAAGGAGTAAGGTTTTTCCGCCCGCCGCCAGTCTTGTCCTGCCGCTGCGCCTGCCCCAATTAACACACTGAGACTCTGTATTTGATATAATTCTGTTGGCCCGTTACTAGTTTCTTATCGGCTAGCTCTGTATTAAGTATTAACCCATTTTTGCTGACCTATGTATTTTCACGTGGTCTTTTCTTACTGGGGAGTGGGGCAGGCATCTGGTCTCCCCGGTCTCTCCATCTTGGCCCCCCTTCCCACTTCCTCTTTCCTCCTTGTCTCCTAGTCCCTCCTATCTTCCTTTCCTATTGGCCAACAGTGCTTTGTTCATTAACCAGTATGAGAAACATTTACAAACTGGCATCTCCCATCACTTCTTTTGAGATCTCTCTGTTCATATCCATGGCCCATTAGGGGTAAGGTTGTCAACTGTTGGCCTTCGTGCCTAAGCAAGTGGAGTACTACTCAGAAAGTCTTTTCCTTCTCACGTCTCTCTCTTATGGAGTATACCTATATACTCTTCAAGCAGTTTAAGCAATTTCACATTGAAGTCTTTGATCCATTTAGAATTTTTGTGCAGGATGATAGATATAAGACTAACTTTATTCTTCTACATGTGGACATCCAGTTTTCCCAGCACCACTTGCCGAAGAACTTGTCTTTGAATCAGTGTATATTTTTGACACCTTTGTCAAATATCAGATGGCTATACTCATGTTTGGGTTTTCTGGTCTGCTCCACTAGTTTAAATATCAGTGGGTTTGGTGTTTTATTTTGCTTTGTTTTGTTGCCAGTACCATGCTGTTTTATTACTAAAGCTCTTCTGGTAATCCCTCTAGCATTGTTATTTCTTCTCAGAATTTCTTTGACTATCTTCAATCTCTTATGGCTCCATATTAATTTTAGGATATTTTTACTGTTTCTGAAGAATGCTGTGGGGATTTTACAGTGAATCTGTAGACTGCCTTTGGTTGACTGGTCACTTTCACAACATGAGTTCTACCAATCCATTAGTATGGAAGGTCTTTCCATCTTCTCGTGTCTTCATCAAGCCCTTTCTTCAGATGTGTAAAGTTTTCATTGAAACAGTCTTTCACCTCCTTGGTTAGGCTTATTCCTAGATATTTTAATATTTGGAGGCTATTGTGAGTGGAATGTTTCTATAATCTATTTCTCAGCATGCTTGTTATCAGCACGTAGAAAGTAGAAAGACTTCTGATTTTTATATGAGTTTTAATTTTGTATCTATCACTTTCTTTAAAAAATGTAGAACATTTCCAGGAATTTTCTGATTGAAGTTTTGGGATCTTTTATGTATAACATCAATTACTAATAGGAACCATTTAACTTTTTCTTTTCCTATTTATATCCTTTTACTTGCTCCCCCCACCCCATTGCCTCTGTTCTGATAATTTCCCAATTTGCATTTCTGTCTCTTGGCCCCCATCTCTAACCTTCCATTGTTAATGGGGTTTTTGTTTTGTTGTTGGTTTTTTTTTTGTTGTTGTTTTGTTTTGTTTTGTTTTGTTTGATCCTCACCTGTGAAGATTCTACCAGTCTTGTGGCTTGTCTGAAATTCATTCAGTCCATTGCCTCCTTCCTTCTTTCCTTCCTTCCTTTCTTCCTTCCTTCCTTCCCTCTTTCCTTCCTTCTTCATTTGTGCCAGAAACAAGTGGAACTGAGTCAAATTGGTTGTTTCTCTTCTGTTTACTTTTAATTTAATTTGCTCTATTTTTTTCTGGTTTCCAAAGATAGAACCTTGAATGATATTTTCTGATCTTTCTCCTTTCCTAATACTATGTAATACTATGCTTTCCTCTAAGCATTTTTTGTTTTGTTTTGTTTTGGATTTTTAAAGACAGGGTTTCTCTGTGTAGTCTGGAATTCACTCAGTCGACCAGACTGGCCTTGAACTCAGAGATTTGCCTACATCTGTCTTCCAAATCCTGGGGTTAAAGGTGTGTGCCACCACCATTAGTTCTTCTAAGTATTTTACAATTTCTTAACCTTTTTTAAATTTTCATTTATTTCCATCTGTGTTTAAATGTTGGGATAGTTTTCTCTTATTTTACAACAATGTTTTTTTTTTTTTTAAAATCTCCACATGTGTTTAGTTTTCCAATCACCTGTTCTTGATTTCTAGTTTAACCATGGACTTGAAAATAGACATTGTGTGATTTCTAATTCTGAAAATCTGTGATGCTATTGTGATAATGCTCAACTTGACAGAAACTATAGTCACCAGGAAACAGACCTCTGGGCATGGCTGTGAGAAGTGATCTTGATTAGATTCATTGAGATGGGAAAACTTAACCACTATGGATAGCACCATTATCTGGCTATGATCCTGGACTATATCAATGGACAAACATTCCTGAAAAGCAGCACACATTTCTCCCTCTCTGCTTTCAAATTATGAATGCAGTGTGACCATTTGTTTCAACTCCTGCTGTCTTCCCAGCCATGATTGCTTATACCCTTCAACTATAAAACTTACTGAGCTCTTCCTCCCTTAAGTTGCTTTTGTCAGAATATTTTATAACAGCAATAAAAATCAATTAAGACATGGGCTGGAAAGATGGCTCAGTGATTAAGAGCACTGGCTGTTCTTCCAGAGGTACTAAGTTCAGTTCCCAGCAACACATGGTGACTCACAACCATGCTTAATGAGATCTGATGCCCTCTTCTGGCCTGAAAGCATACAAACACTGTATATACATAAATAAATAAATCTTTTAAAAAAATAACTAAGATCAAAAATTGGTACTTAAAGGTAAAACTGTTGCTGGGATAAACCTTATCATGTACATCATAAACCATTGAAACTGTTATATGGCAGAAACATAGAAATATTTGCAACTTAGGGTTAGAAAGACCCTTGAATTCTGGAAGTCAAGATTAATAGGCCACGCTGTTAGGAACTTGCAAGAATAATGAGAGAAACAATATCAATGGTAGCCTGGCTCATGAGGTTTCAGAATAGAATAAGAAGTCTATCAGGAAGTGGGTTGGGGTCATTTGTGTAGTATTTTGGTCAACATTCTGTTTTCATTTTGCCTGTATCAGGAGAACCTGAGTGAAGTTGAACTTTAATATAATGGACTAATTTGTTTGCAGAAGAAATTTAAAAACAGGAAAGCATTCAGACTGTTACTGAAAAAGTAGCTCTGACTGTTATAGGCACCACTAAGAGAAACCTATTTCATTGCACTGAAGCAATAAGAAGCATGTACTGAGATCAAAACTCCACCTAGCAGAGACTCCATGTTTGGAAATTCAAATTCATCTAAAGGAAGAAACCCTCCAATGAATTGGTTCACTATTCCTCAAAAGTAACTTCTGGGAAGGTTATTTCCCTTGTGTAAGCATGGAGTGTTTGCCAGAGAATCTAATCTTCACCTCAAGCTTTCAGACAAAATTAACAGCCACATCCACATGAGAGTCATTTTGAAGGCATGAAAGATGCAAGATTAGAGGTGCCATGGAAAGCAACTAAAATGTGTTGTGGTTCAAGTCCCGACAAAGAAGGCCTGAGAAGCCACTGCTTAGAGCAGCGAAGGTAAAGGCAGATGTGGAGTATAAAAATCTAAGCTATTACTCATGTAAGGACCATGGAATGTTCATCAAGTAGGGCTGCAAGTATGGAGTACAGTTGACCTAAATAAGAGGCTTTCCTTGCTGCAGGTGGTAGGGCTGGAGGACTGAGGTTGACTAAACCTCTCTGAGCCAAGCAGACAATGCTAGACATGGGCTAGTCTTTTCCCTGGGTTTCTTTTGGTCATTATCACCTTCTGGCCGTACTCTGAGTCTTTCATTTTGGAATAGGGATACTTACCCTGTGCCATTATATGTTGGTATATTATTTGCCTTTTGTTTTATTTGCACTCACATTAAGATCTTTTGACCTACGAGAGATGGAATGGGGAGATGGAGGATGGGAGGGACAGGGAACTAGGATTATTTTTAATTTAAATTAAAAAATGAATTTAAAAAATAGGTCTTTGACCTTTAAAGAGTTGTTATTCTCAGTAGCTGTGGGAACTTTTC